CACCCAGTGCTCCCCGATATTTTTTATTAATGACTTGAAAGAGGAGGTGCAGAGAAAGCTTATCAGATGTGTGGACGACACAGAATTGGAGAGAATAGCTAACACCCTGGAAGACAAAAACAAAATTCCAAATGATGTGGATAGGCTGGAGCACTGGGCCGAAAACAACAGAATGAAAATCAGCAGGGATAAATGCAAAGTACTGCACGTAGGAAAAAGTAAGCGAACACACAGTTACAAGATGAGGGATACCTGGCTCAGCAAAACTACGAGCAAGAAGGATCTTGAAGTCATTGTAGATCACAAGCTGAATATGAGCCAACAGTGTGATGTGGCTACAAAAAAGGCAAAAGCTATTTTAGGCTGCATTAACAGAAGTATAGTTTCCACATCCCATGAAGTACTAGTTCCCCTATCTTGGGCACTGGTTTTACACCTCATCTTGAGTACTGTGTCCAGTTCTGAACACCGCACTTTAAGAAGGATGCCAACAAACTAGAGCAAGTTCAGAGAAGGGAAACAAACATGATCAGAGGGCTGGAAATCAAGTTGTGTGAGGAAAGGCTGAAAGAACTGGGCATGTTTAGCCTGGAGAAAAGAAGACTGAGGGGAGATATAATAGCACTCTTCAAAAACTTGAAAGACTGTCACATAGAGGAGAGGCAGGATAAAGAGTACAGGACAGGTAATAGCAGTCTCAAGTTATAGGGAGCCAGACTTTGGTTGACTATCAGGAAAAACTTCCTAATTGTTAGAGCAGTACAATGATGAAACAGATTATCTCAGGAGATGGTGAGCTCCCCAACCCAATATAAGAGAAAATGTAGATAGCCATTTGTCAGATAAACTGTGATTTGGATTCCTACCTTGAGCAAGGGGTTGGACTTGATGGCCTATACAAATCTTCCAACTCCATTATTCTATGATTTTATAAGATATGACTAACTCTTTCAGGTGGAATAAGAAAACCACAGAAACAGTAGACTTTGCTCTAAATGTGGTTTCATTAAACAAGGTTGTACAAACTGCACATTTTATTAAAACAGTGCTAGAGGGTTAAGAAGACAATCAATGCATGAGATGGTCCCATCGTGTAAGAACATGGCTAATTTAGCTTATTAGTGCCAGGAAGAATAGGAATGGGAATTTGGCCAGATTAGAAGGTCTCGGTACTGCAGCCTCCGGTGAAATGTTTGCCCACCGGTCAGTGGAAAGTGTTTTGCCAACTGTGTCGGCCTCAGCAATACTGTGCCAGCTCTGTAGGGGAGGAATGGCGCTTTTGCCAATTCTTTGGCACATAGAAATTTGCCAAATGCTCCCCAGCTGTTAGGGATTTGATATCAAAGTACAGTTAGAGACCCCCAAACCTTTCCAGGGCAGTCTTTGCAATGAGTAATATCATTCATTCCTCTCCCCATCACCTCTCTGTATATGTACATGTGTGTGTGTATTTACTCATGATTTCTAAAGCATCAATCAATCTAACAATATGTGACCTCATCTAACCATCTAATATTACTCATTCCATTTAGAATATTCCATCCTGCCACCTTGGGCACAGCAGACTATAATTGAGATCGGTTGAAGAAAGCAGAACTGCAATTCATTCATTCAGTCCCTCGCACACACCAAAGTTTATGGCCCAGATCCATGACTCAAGCACAGTGTTCCTCACTCCACATTGAGGTACTTTTCTGCTCAGACTATAGCCCTGCTCCCACAGCATATCTTTATATAGATATGTGTATATCCAGTATTTCTGTTTTCTTAGTAATACACAGAGTGTGTCTGTTTATGTAATCTATCTGTTTGCTTATCCATCCACCCACCCACCTCTCTCTTGCTTTGGGTCCCTTATGCTAAGTACTACCTAATTCAAGATGCAACAGCTATCAGAGGTCTAAGCCAAGGAGCTCACCTTCCTAGATTTACCTGATTCATTTAAGATTGAAGATATTAATGCATTATCTACTGAACTCCCCCCCCCTCCAGCCACAGTTCCTGGTTTTATTACCCTTCTATATATGGATGGCAACAGGCTGCAAAAAGGGAGAGTGTCTTTCCACTAACTCATGTGAAGAAGGGTCTCTCTCTCTCTCTCTCTCTCTCTCTCTCTCTCTCTCTGTGTGTGTGTGTGTGTGTGTGTGTGTGTGAGAGAGAGAGAGAGAGAGAGAGACTTTATTCCTACCTCGAATGGTCATGTTTTCTTCCTGAGCTGTACCACCTAGGCAGTACAATGATGTGCATGCTTAAATATTCTTCCATAAAAGAAGGGGGGGAGGCACTCCTGCTGGTAATTGAAAAATAAGTCAGAGAAAAAGCCAGTGTTGAACTTTTTTTTCTACGCTTGTTTTTTTGAGGACACGCTTCCTCAATAGGCTATGTCCTTGACCTCTCGCCACTGCTTGTCTGTGAATACCTATTAGGCTGAATATCAGGAAATAAAAACTTCTTAACTGTTAGAGCAGTACAACAATGGAACCAATGACTTTGGGAGACGGCAAGCACTCCAACGCTGGAGAAAATTGGACAAGCATCTCTCAAAATCTGCTTTGACGTGGATTCCTGCCTTGAGCAGGGGGTTGGACTTGATGGCCTTATAGGTCCCTTCCAACTCAAATATTCTATGATTCTATGACATTTCAAGTTAGCGAGAACCTCACTTTTCCTCACTTTCACGAGTGGTGATGACAGCAGGGGGTAAGCAGGCCTAGGTTCTTGCTCTAAAACAAATCAGAGTGACCTACAACAGTGTTGCTTTTTGGTCGGGCGTTGACAATTACTGCTTCTAGAAGTTCCTCTCTCTCTTTTTTTGGCCAACCTGCCCAAGCTCAGTTGAAGCCCAGATCCTGGCCACAGACAGACAGCGGCCATGGCTGGCAGAGAACAGCCCCTGAATCACAGAAGAGAGAACAGCAGGGGCGGCTTCCGATAGAACCGGTTGGTACAGGGATCATAAACCTTTGTCCATCTAGATGTTTTGGCCCAACATTCCCAAAACATCTGGTGATGTGGCACCCAAAACATCTGGTGGGCAAAAAAAAATCACCACCTGTGGCTTAATGACTTCCCTCAGTGACGCTGTCCAGAAGTAGTTTTGGACAAGAGTGGGGAAGGGTTCTTTTCCGTACTACAATTCCCAGAATAGTATAGTCCTGGAGGTCACCGGACCAGGCATTGATTCAGAGCTTTCTTGTGTATGCAGTTCTAGAAACGAAGGAGTTGAAAGAAATAAAAGTTCATCCCAAAGTTAAAAAACAAAACAAAAACAAGACACCAGCTTCCAAAAGTAGGGGTACTTGCATATCTCCACACATCAGGCGAGCCTGTTAACACATAAGTGTGACAATCCTTTCAGGGCTATCGGCAAAACTGTCCATCACTCTCTCCAGCTCAGGAAATGCCACACATTTCACTCTCTTATGGGCGGTTGGGATGGTATCTGATGACCCAGTAGACAGAAACAGAGGAAACAGACATGCATGCTGTTTGAGGTCTAATTATAGAAAGAGGACCAACCTCTTGCTAGGGTGAAAGGTGAAAGGGTTAACCCTGCCAGATCCCTTCTGCTCTCTTCTGCAAGAAGACCCAGGTTTTTGGTGGAGGGACACTTTAAAAAAACAAAACAAAACCCTTACCCGCACAGCCTCACCACCACTTTGTGGAAATTGAGACTATAATGAAAACAGAAAAGAGCAGCTCGGTGTTCGGCCCATTAATATTCTCGTGTCAGAGAACAAAGCGTAAGAAACCGTCAGCAGGTCTTTCCTGGAAGAAAGCAATCAAAGGGACAAGAAGACATAACGACACAGGCATTTTTTTTTAATTCAAATTTTACATTTGATGAAGTTTACCACTCTCTATTTGAAATACATGGAATGAAATGAAGAGGTAGCTAAAGAGAAAGCGATTTTAGGTTAAACAGACGTTCAACCAGCTCATCTTAAACTGGCAGTATTTCTTGGCGGATCTTTCCCGGATCTGAGAGAGATTGACCTTTCTCCGGTCACTTACCACCCAGTCCTTCCTCTTCCTCCTGCGCTCCTTATTTCTCAGCCTTGCTGGCGCATGTGGGCAGGCCAAAAGGGTCACACCTGAAAATCAGGAATCATGTCCTCAAAATCTGTCGGTGACATGACATGCTTGCCAAGCCACTGGTTTTTTGAACGTCCGGAACTGAATTAACAGGGATTGGCCATTGTTTTAAATTAGATGGTGATGGTGGTGGTGTTAATGATTAAAGATGTCAAAGACTGAAACGGGAACCTGTTGCTGGTGACACAGAGGTTCTGCCATTCAGCTCCTCCCCAGGTTTCATGAAATCAGAAGTTCTCATGCACAGAAGTCTATATCCCACCCCACAGCCACCGTCTGGGTATTCTGGGAGTTGACGTTCAAAACAGGGTGATCTTTCCAAGCTTTAGTCATGCATTTCCTTCACTGAGGCCTCCTAAAGGCCATAGCAGTAACTCTGGGCGATTCAGCGCAACTGTGTTGTCATTGGGATGCTCACAGGGCACAACATTGGCCAACTGCTGGACTAGCACAAACCACCTGGGTCCCTATCATTTCGAGCTTCTCCAGCCAGTACTTTAACATGGGAGCGCACATCTGTGCAAACATCGTAGGTGATGCTTGAGCAAGTGGTGCCGTTGGATCTTCCTACACTCTTGGGACAGCCCACTTCCAGGGGAAGCTCAATACTGACCCCCGTGTTTCTTGGAGAGAGAGAAAAAATATCTGTGTTTCCTCCCCTCTTTCTATGTTTTTGGCGAGAGACTTCCTTTTATGGGCTGCAGCTGCTAAGGTGTGTCATATTTGGAGAAAGGATGCCCTTAACACATGGAGAAAAGGATATGTTCTAGTGATTGGGACGGTGGGTTTGGGGCTGGAACGAAAATGGGCATTTTTGGCCCTTCCCATGTAGAACAGCACGGAGGATAATTGCAAAGGATCGTGGCAGCTGTGGCTTCAACATCTGGAGGCCAACACATGGAGAAAGGGATATGTTATAGTGATTGGTGGGTTTGGGGCTGGAACGAAAATGGGAATTTTTGGCCCTTCCCATGTAGAACAGCATGGAGGATAATTGCAAAGGATAGTGGCAGCTGTGGCTTCAACATCTGGAGGCTCAGCGCTTCCCCTCCCCACCCACCTACCCACCGTGGGACACAGACTGGAGGGTGAAATAGGTTCACTTATTTGTCCAACCACGAAACTCACAGGGTGACTCAACCACCTTCTTTCCTTCCGGCCTACCTCGCAGGGTTATTATAAGGCGCAAAAGGGGAGATCACAGATATCATCCTCAGAGGGAAGGGAGGATTAAAAACGATAGAACCTTCATCATTTATATACAAATTCTACATCACGGCGCCTTGGCTACAGAGCTGTCAGCTTCGTACTCTCTCATGGGGACACCTTCGTTCTGAAGACTTCTGTTCACATTTTTGTCCCTGAACGCTTGACAAAGAGCACCCAAAGCGTGCGTGCGTGTGTGCGTGTGTTGCCCTGCCATGCACCTACGAGTGGATGTGCACCGTCAGGGCTCAAGATGGGCCCAACCAGAAAGAGAGGCAGCTCCCCTCTGGCTCTCCTCCCCAAGCCAATCATCCTCTTGGTCTCCCTTCCTTCCTGCAAGGCAAAGCGTTCGCTCTCCTGCGTGTTACACTCGGGGCCAGGCGCCGGCGGAGCCTTTAGGGGATCTGCCCACATACTGTGAAGTGCCGAGCCAGGAAACGTGATGGATGTGCGCTCTGGATGTTCTTCCCCCCTACTCACCCATACGCGCACTTATTCTGGCTGCTGCGGCTGGCTTCCCAGATTATGACAGGGAGTCCAGTTTCACTCTTTTCCAGCTGCATGTGCGTAGGTGGGACGGGCTCCAGGTGCTGAGCCGCCAAAAAGAGCGGCTGTTCTCCCCCCCCAACAGCTAAAGCAACCTGCCAGCTTGGCCTGGGGTGCAAAAGAGGGGAAAGGCATCTCTTTGAAATGTTGGCAATGTGGCTATGAACTGGGGCCACGGGGTTACATTCCCCCCCCCAAAAGTAGTGTTTAAAGGGGTGCTAGGAAATTATGCAGAGGGGTGTGTGGAGACATAGGGGAAATAGATATTTCTTGTAGAGCTTGGAAGAGTTTCCGTTGTGGACCATAATGTCCGGAAGCCCTCGGGCCAGCGGGGGCCCTCGGCCACGCTCTCTGGGTAATCGCCGGGGAATTTAAGTCCAGCAACCAAAGAAGCAAACTTTCTCCAAGCATTGATTCCTTGTTCTGGCCCCATTGATAAAGAAAGACAGAACCAAGCACTTCAGGTTTTTTTGTGGGGGTGGGTGGGGGTGTTCCCTTTATTCATCCATTGGCAATACATCTTCTTGCCTGCCTGCCTGCCAGAATGTTGGTTATGGCTGTTCCAAGCTCAGCTGTTTGACTGCCCTGACGGGGCCGATGCCAAACTGAGAGGCCGCGCTTTGTACTCTCTGGAGCGACAGATTTGGCACAAGCAAGAAACAGATTTTCACATGTCTAAAATATTGGGAACTGCAGAAAGGCCCCACACCGACCCGGCGTCTGATCCTGTTCAGGCGCTTGCGCAGAGGCCCACTGGGGGGGCCAGTTTCACGGTCCACTTGCAGAAAAGCGGGCTGCATCTCCAACGGGACGCTCACCTGCGGCCCGGGACGGTTCCTCGCAGGCTGGTGGCCCGTGCCGGTGAATGTCTGCCCAGCTGGACATAGCTTTCATTTCACCTTTCCAAACTCCCCCAGCACTAGAAGCTTGATGGGCACATTCGATTAAGCTCTTCTTTCACGATCTGTGCCAAACTAAGGATTTCACTGCCGAGAGGCCACCCTATCCGGTCCCCCTCTGTCCCCAGCATGAAACTCCACTCGTGGGTACACATACATCTGCAGTTTGAAACGCAAGTGTTTGTATTTCTTCAAATTTGGCATCTCCTCCTGGCTTCTTGCTGCTGCGAGGCTCTTTCCTGCGCAAGCCGAAGGATATTTCTTCAATTATAACTTGCTGTCTGTGGTGTTGCTCATGGAGGGGGGGCTGCATCTGTTCTTTCCCCCAACCCTGTCCCTCAACGTTGACCTTGGCTTCTCACAGAGAAAGGGAGTAACATCCCTGCTGCCCCCAATTAGAACTTCCAGTCTCTTGCTATCATTTCTTCTCACCTTGCAGCTTTAAAAGCAGGGGCGCCCCTTTCACTCCGCAGCAGCTCATGATCCTTTGCTCCGAGGAGGCCGGATTAAAAGCAAACAAAACCTTTCTCTTCCTTCCTTCCTGGGATCGGTTGTTTGTTTGGCTGTGAAAGTGACTCTCGCATTGAACACTCGAAAGAGAGAGGGAAAGCCCACTTTTCTGCTGCTGCTGCTGCTGCTTTTCGCCCGGCTCTTTTGTAAACAAGCAGACCTGTTTTGCAAAGAAGCGTGCCCACCCAAAGTCAGGACTCCTGCAGGAGCCATCGGGTCCACCGCCAGCCACTCCTTCTCGGCTCTTGGCTCCCAGCCTTGATCATTCATCCTTCCTGGAGCAAGCAGAGTCCCTTAACAGTTCATAATGCTACTCACTGCAGTTGAATCCAAGCAGGGTAATGTTGTCAACACACACACTGCCAGGTTGCACGAGTCTCTGCTCGCCTCTGCCCAACACTGATGACCTCCTTCAAAGCTCCTTTACCAGCGCTCCTCTCTTCTGCGCGTGGATTACAGGAAAAAGATGAGGCCATCTCCAGCCATGGGTCTACCTGTCGGGGACTTGGCTTGGGGGACCCAGCCTCATAAAGCCCCCTGTTCTAAGGGGACAGGCTCTTCTTGCTGCTTCTTTCGCTGCCTCTCCCTCTTGGCTCGCCAGCAGGCCACGGCACCCACCAAAAGGCCCACCCCGAAGATCAAGGTGGCCACCGAGACCACCTTGGCGATGTCCATCGACGGGCCGTTGATGGTGAAGGTGATGCACGTGGCCGCGATGCCGATGACCAGGGCGACGATGCCGAAGGGGAAGACGCAGCGGTACCAGGATTTCTCCGTGCCCCCTGTCGCCAGGGCCAGCTTGTTGAGGGTGGCGGTGGAATCCGTGGGGGCAGCCACCACCGGCAGCACGGGCTTCCCTCCTTGCAGGCAAGTCAGGGAGTTGGACTTGCAGCCCATCATCGTGGTAGATGAGAGCAGGTCAGGAGATGTCCAGGCTAGCCCAGGGAGGGCGACAAGGACCCCGGTTTGGGCACTTCTTGCCCGGCGATGCAGCCTTCCTTGCAAGAGAGCCTAGAGAAACGATGCAAAGTCTCTGTACCTTCTCTCCTCCTCCTCCTCCTCCTCCTGCTGCTGCTTTTCTTCTCTGGCCGCTGCTGGCTTTGATTTCTGCTCTGAGCCTTGGCTCGGTGGACTCTTTTGCTGGAGAGCCGAGCGGCGATTGGGCGATGCGAGAAGTGATGTCAGGCCTGTGGGTGGGAAGCTCTGAGCCTGTTAACCGTTTCGAAGAAGAAGAAGAAGCAACCTGTAGGGAAACACACTTGCCCTCCCCAGGAGCCTTGTCAGTGGGAAGATGCTCGCCTGCCATTCTGGCTGAGAAGAAGAAGAAGAAGAAGAAGAAGAAACCTATGGGGAAACACACTCGCCCTCCCCAGGAGCCTTCTCATTGGGAAGATGCTCGCCTGCCATTCTGGCTGTGCAAGCTTTCCTCCCAGCCGACTGGGCTCCTGTAGCTCCTTTTCCACGCTGTCTTTGGATCTTTACGGTTTACAGACTTGTTTGAATTGTGATTTCGCTTGTGATTTCTTACACAATGGGGATTTGGAGAATTAAGAGTTCAAAACAGTGCGGCTGCTGAATTTTTGCCAGGTGTTTTATCTTTCTTTATGAGCTCTACTGGATGGAAGACATATCCGTCCGTCGTTACTCGTCAAGGTGGCTGGCTAGCGGCTGCCTCTTAACACCCAAAGGCCTCGTACCAGTCGCGGAAACAACAAAGTCTGGTCTGACGTCTTATCTTCAGCTCTGACCTGCTTTCTTTGGCATCCGTAGCCCTGGATCGCAGCCCGCTTCCATCAGCGATACTCTCGCAAGTGGGCTGAAGGCCACAAATGCTCCCTCCAGATAAAATACAGCTTTATTATATTTTAATAAACTTCAGATGCCGCAAGGCTGTCTGTTTCTTTTGCTGCAACAGCAACAGTTGCTTTGCTGGAAATGGGAAATACAATACCAGCTGCTAGAGAGCACTAAACAGGATGGACTGACATTGGGCTTTCCAGAAACATCGGGGCTGCTCCTGGGATGAACACCCACACGATGAAGGCACAATCTCCCCAAATTGGGTTGTCTTTTTTGCGCCTTTGCACACACTTTACTGCTTTTTTAGGTTGGCCTCTAAACATATTTCCTCAGTCTGGAGTTTGGCATTTATTTTGTCCCCATCCAGGACTGTTGTGGTGACACCTCCAGGTTCGACGGTTGAATCACTGTTGCCCGCCTGGTTGACATAGGGCTCAAACGGGCCGAGGCCGGCCTGGAGATGACATCAGCCTCAGAACGGCCATGACTCGGATACAGGCTCGGAATCGATACCGAAGCCTGTGTCTGTGGCTGCAGTACAAAGCCATCCCCTTCAGAAAGCGATTCGGGATCATGAAACTGCCTGGAAGATTCCTCAAGTATCCGCGAGGGCAAGGTCACTCGAACTGGAGGGAGCTCCTTCAGTTGAAGAGACTTAGCCTTTTTATGTTTAACTACCTCCTTTTTCTTGGGATCTTTAACAGATGGCGACTTCGATGTCAGTGTCAAAGACTTTTCCGACTTGGGACACCTTCAAAGAAGCTCTTGAAGAAGGGGTAGCTGGCGCCGTCGAGGCAGCAGGATCGGGACGAGGAGTGACAGGAGCAGGAGTCACTGTAGGTTCCATGGTTGTCGAACTCGACGGTGTTAACGACTTCTCCCAAAGATATGAGCGGAGTTGCTGTAAGTGGAGCTTCAGGGCGGGCTTGTTTAATTTTTTACACTTTTGACAAGAGTTGAGCTGGTGTCTTTCCCCCAAACAGAATAAACAGCGGTCATGGCCATTGATAAAAGGAATCTTGTTAGCACACAACGTACAGCGGTGCCTCGCTTAATGACAATAATCTGCTCCAGGAAAATCGCTGTTAAGCGAAAACATCATAAAGCGAAATTTAAAAACCCATTGAAATGCATTGATTTCTAGTTCACCTTCTATGGCATTCTCCAAGGCAGTTTGCAAATCAGTTGGGAAAGCAATATAACATGATTGCAAGCCATTAAAATAATTTTTAAAAAAAACACAATAATAAGCTGCTTGTAAAATAACACATCAAAATCCCCAGACTTTTTAATTTCTCTTATTTTACTTATTTAAAATATTTTTAACTCACCTTTCTACTTAAAAAGAACCCAAGGGAGCTTACAACAATTAAAAGACAGCATTTAAAATTATTAACAATGAGCATACAATACTAAGTGGATCAATGAATACAATACTTAAAAACATAGAGCAATAACAAAATACATTCAAGGCCGTAAGGTACAACAATCTGTTTAAAAAATGCAACTCGGCCACCATTCATTCAGGGGAAGCTTGCCTGAAGAGAAAGGACAGCAAAGATGGGGCCAGCCTCTCCTCCAGTGGGAGGGAGTTCCAGAGTCTGGGAGCAGCCACAGAGAAGGCCCTGTCCCGTGTCCCCACCAAATGCACCTGTGAAGGTGGTGGGACTGAGAGGAAGGTCTCTCCTTATGATCTTAACATTTGAGCAGGCTCGTGAAGGGATATGGTAGTCGATGAAATAGCTTGGGCCCAAGCAGTTTAAGGCTTTATAGAGTAGAACCATCACTGTGAATTCTGCCCAAAAACAGATCGGCAGCCAGTGGAGCTGCTGTAACAGGAGTGCAGGGAGGGGATCCCTGTGTGCAGCCCCAGTTAGCACTCTGGCTGCTGCCTTTTGCACCTCCTGAAGTATCCTGACACTTTCCATAGGCAGCCCCATGTAGAGTGCCATGTCTGTTTACCTGGCCATGCCCCCATGCCCACTTGACTGATCCCCCTGATCAGGCAGCAATCAAACAGTAGAGCTCCAACATCACTGCGTTCTTTGCTTGACTCCCACCTGCTGTTCTGTTTCCATTTATCTCTTGCTCTCATAAGAATTACCTCCACCCACCCACCCCACCTGTCAGTGGGTCCTTTCAATCTCTATTTTAGTGTCCCCCCCCGCATATTACAAAAGACTTGGCTCACTCTAATATTCTCAGTCTAAGGCTTCATACGTGCAAGAAAACCATCCGTGAATGGATAGGGTCCATCATTTCATAGCTATTTTGATCTATTACACAGCTGGGATTCTGTTCAGCCAACTCTGCCACATAAATTGAATAATGTCATCCGATGGGGTGATATTTCGGCAATAAAACATTTCCAATTCCTTCCCCAAAGCTGCTGGGTGCTGAAGGACCGGGGGGGGGAGGGGGGCGTCTTTAATTCCTGAAAATTGCTGACGGCTGTAAAGTCATCCTGACAGCAATGATTTTCAGAAATTAAAGACTTCCGTCCTGTCTTTCAGCCCCGACAGCTTCCCCCACAATTAAGACGGATTCCGTGGGGGCTTGAGATCCTTGGAGGGAGGATCGGAAATGTATCATTGGGGGAAAAAAATTGTCACAGCTCATAATGTCATCATCATCAGCCTTATGTGGTATCGCTTACGGAACAGAATTTCAGCCAAGGGATCTGAGATACTCACGTTCAGTTAGTGGAAGGACACCCCAGTGAAACAAATTTCTGGTGACGCCGTTCGTAATCAGTCCTTTCACTGGAAATGCTGCTTTGAATCCGAGATGGTGCATCAAGCCAAAGATTGCTCTGGACGGAAACACAAAACATGATACACGAATCTGCTGGTATCTTGTCACATTTAAGTTTCTAATTCTCCTGACTCAGTGATGGCGCAACAGCTCATCTCTAAACTCTCCAGAAGGTACTATCAGCCCTCAATAATATTACGTTATAAATTCTGTTTTCTTGTTTCTTCCTATTACAGCTGTATATTTTGAAAGGTAAATTGAAGTGAAGGTAGGTTAGAACATGAAAGAAAAGAAATTATGCTAGGGTTCTACAAACCACAGCTGTCCGGATGCCAAACTGCATGTGATTTTCACCACTTCAACTTTCTAAAGTCCCAACAAAATCACAGCCTTCCTACCCTGTTTCCCCGAAAATAAGCCCTAATCTGAAAACAAGCGCTAGTACGATTTTTCAGGATGCTCGTAATATACCGTATTTTTCACACTATAAGACACACTTTTTTCCCACAGATTATTTTTTCCTGTTTTCTTCTCCTAAAAATTTGGTGCGTCTTATGGAGAGGTGCGTCTTATGGAGCGAAAAATACGGTAAGCCCTATCCCAAACATAAGCCCTAGTTAAGTGAAACCCTGCCCTCCAACCTTGTGCAGCAACCAGAAGAAGAGGACATGACTATATTTGAATAAATGTAGATTGTTGTACATGAAAAGAATAAAACATCACCTGAAAATAAGCGTTAATGATTTTTTTGGAGCAAAAATTGATCTAAGACCCTCTCTTATTTTCTGGGAAATACAGCATTACCTTTTTAATCACTATGTTTTTTGCTGAATAAGAATCTTCCAAAAAGAAATACACCAATAAGGTGCTTGGACAGACGGTGCACTAGATGCAATTCTGTGCGTTTCCCACCTGGTTTTCGGCCTGAATATTTTTCTCATTACCTTTTTAACCACTGTGTTTTTTGCTGAATAAGAATTTTCCAAAAAGAAATACACCAATAATGTGCTTGGACAGACGGTGCACTAGATGCAATTCTGTGCGTTTCCCACCTGGTTTTCGGCCTGAATATTTTTCTTCGTGCGTCTGTTTAGATTCTCTAGTTTGCAGAGAGCAACAGGCCTCCTTGGAGAAAATACCCTTCCTGTTCTGGCTCAGTATGGACTAGAACACACTTCAATAAAATGTTGCAGTTTAATGCATTTCTACAGGTATATCTTTTTTGCCACTTGATGGAGCACTCTTTCTAGATACAGGATTAGTCTAATGTTTCAATAACAAGTCTGAGATGTATTTGGCTCAGATGTTCAAACCAGCCATGCAATCTAGGGCAAAGCTAGGGCGAAATGCCTTTCTGAAACCTTGGCTAGGACTTGAAAAGCAGCTTGAAGTCCAGCTTGCACTTTCTAAATATATATTGTATCCTGTTGACTCTGCTGAATGCTGGGACAGAACTCCCTGTTTTGTCTCTACTTAGAGAGTTAATTGCAGAGACTGGTGAATATCTTCCCCA